AAAGAGTACATACTATTTATTTTATTTTTTTTTTTTTTTTGCTAAAAATCGGAGTATTTTTTTGATTAAATTCGGAATATTTTTTCATAATTTTCAAGTGTGAAATCTGAAATTTTCTTGCTCTTACACAAAGTCAAAATGGCAATGAGAGTAACACACTGAAAATGGATGATGGTGTAAAAAAAAGGGAAAAACACACAAAAAAAATGCCGAAGTGTAAGGAGAGGACTTTTCAAACTATTGTCCACTAGCCCAAATCAACCAGTATTACCAATACGCTCCCCATGTTTCAGAGATTTTCACACATTGCTTAAAAATCTTCAATCCTATCTCATATCTTCAGCTAATGTCCACAATCATTAAATATTTTACCATTGTATTATTAAAACAAATTAAACTTTTTCACGTTTTAGGTGCTTTCAAAGATTTCTCGCAACCTTTCAACTCTATCGCATAATAATAGTTAATATAATAAAAATCCCAAAAATTTTGGTGAACCTTGGGTCATCAAATAGTAAAATTTGCTGCAACCACAATAAATAAGACCACGTTGAGCTTCATTAACTTATACATGGCACTATGGGTTAAATTGAACAAAAATATAGTTCAGCTTATAAACATAATGCTGCAGCGAATTTGTGCTGTATAATATTTTATTATGGTGCAATGTTGAACAGTAAAAACAATACCAAAACGAAAGCCCGATATTTTTTTTATTTATTTATTATTTTTTTTAATGTCGTTGTCTTAGCTATACTGTTTCGTTATTATAAATCCAAATTTATGGATATACATTTACAGAATTGTGTAACTCAAACAAGCATTCACGCATTTATATTTACGGGATTGTGTATCTCAGAAAAATATTCACTGATTTAGTTCAGCTTAAAAACATAATGCTGCATCAAATTTGTACTGCATAATATTTTATTATGGTTCAATGTTGAACAGTAGAAACAATGCCAAAAAGAAAACCCTAGTTTTTATTTTTATTTTATTTTTTTAAATATCGTTGTCTTTCGCTACACTATTTCGTAATTATAAATCTGAATTTATGGATATACATTTACAGAATTGAGTAACTCAAACCGGCATTCACGCATTTACATTTACGGGATTGTGTATCTCAGAAAAATATTCGCTGATTCATATTTACGGGAGCGTGCAACTCAAACAAGCATTCACTGATTTACGTTTTTGAGATTGAGTTATTCAAACAAGCATTTACTATTATACATTTGCAGGATTTTGTAATCCAGACAAGCATTCCCGGATGCATAATTGTAAATATTAATAATTTAATAACACAATATTGTAATTCTAATTAAACTAAAACGCGTTTCAACTTTAAATTATATTTAAGCTTACCACAAATTTGTACAATACTATGGTTCAACTTTGAACTGATTTAATTTGGCGTGCAGTAAGAATTCCAAAGAAAAAAATAATAATAATAATAATTCACTTATGCTTTTCTCAAGATTTACATTCTTTATCTCAGTTACACAATACCGTAATTGTATATCGAAATTCACGAAAAAAGTCGGCAAAAAGCACTTAACAAGAGGGAAAAAAATGATAAAGAATATGGTGCTAAAAATAATTTTTCAAGACACTTTATAAGTGGTGTATTTAACCTCTATCAATGTCTATTCCTTAATAGGCGTAATTAAGAAAAATCATTGGAGCATATTTTTTTTCGGCGCTATCCTCCCTTTCTTTCTTTTCTTTGCGTTTTTTTTATGTTGACAAGCCGGATACAAGGCGCCAAATTTATTCTTCATAAACACGAATTGCTGTAAGAGCCCATGTCTATTCTTTCAACGACAATTTGAGGTAAATGATAATCAAATTCTTTTTTTATTGATATTTCAAACCCTTTCACCGAACGGCTGTTTCCATTCGAGACATTAAGGGTCAAATAGATTACAGTTTTATCTTGAAATCGTACTTTGTTTGTTTCCATTAGCGTCGTAAAACAATTTTTACGACATTACGGTATCCATAAAAGTAGAAATGCTCAGCTGCGTACCATAAAACAAAAAATGTTGTTCAAAGCAATGCTTTTTCTGTAGCATAGAACTATCTACTGTCAGTTGACAAAATTAGTATAGTAATGTATATCTGAAAAATATAATAAACGTATTTCCATTTTTTTTAAACGAAATTCGCATTGAAATTAAACTGAATATTAAACTTTTGAAATTGAACTGAATACTAATTAATGAAATTGAATTGAATTCTGAAATATTAAAATGATGCTGAGTGGTAATAAATTGTAATTGGATTAATTTATTATTGGATTTTCAATTCACGAAATCGACTGAATACTAAATTATTGAAATTCAATTGAATAAATAATTATTGAAATTCAATTGAATAAAATGAATAAAGGAAAGTAAATTACACACTAAATGATTGAAAATTAAGTCGATTCCCAAAATGTTGATACTGAAGTGGATTGAAAATTATTAAAATTGAAACAATATCTGAATTACTAAATAATAAATTAAAATTGTATTGAGCACGTCTTTATTAAATAATAAATTATTAAAATTGAATAGAATACTAAATTATTGAAATTGAATTGAATACTAAACTTTCGAAATTGAACTGAATACTAATTAATGAAATTGAATTCTAAAATATTAAAATGAAGCTGAGTGGTAATAAATTGTAATTGGATTAATTTATAATTAGATTCTAAGTTCTTGAAATCGATCTGAGAACTAAATTATTGAAATTCTATTGAATAAATACTTATTGAAAGTAAATTGAACACTAAATGATTGAAAATTAAGTCGATTCCAAAATGTTGATACTGAAGTGAAATAAAAATTATTGAAATTGAAACAATATCTAAATTATTAAATAATAAATTAAAATTGTATTGTCTTTATTAAATAATAAATAACACGTCTAAATTGAGTACGTCTTTATTGAATAATAAGTTATTAAAATGGAATGGAATACCGAATTATCGAAATTGAATAGTACAGTTACACTGAATTAGTACAGTAGAAATACGTTCAAATTATGAAACTGGATAGAATACATAATTAAATTTCATTGAAACTAAATTATTGAAATTAAATTGTGTACGAAATTATTGTTAGCGAATTGAATACCAAATTAGAGAAAAAGAGCTGAATAATACATTTTCAAAATTGAATTAAGCACTAAGCTACTGAAACTAAATTAAATTCTGGATTAAAGAAGTAGAATTGAATTCTTAATTATTAATATTGAATTTAAAGCTGAATAATTAAATGTAAGTTAAATATTTAAGTGAAGAAATTATATCCGTTAATAACTTTCAGTAGTAAAATTGATAAATATAAATAATTTCTTCTAAAATAATTAGTAAAAACCTGTGACACGTTCGTCAAACATTAACCGACGAGGCAATTTTTATTGAATCGTCAAACAAAATAATCATCAAGCATTTTAAAAAGAATAAACAATATCTTAACATGCTTTTCAAATTTATTCCTATTTTAATAAAAATTACTTACATATTATTTAATTGACCATTGAAAACAAACTAAACCATAACATAAAACCAAACTATGTTTTGTCCTTTTTAGAAAATACATAAATTGAATTATATACCTTCTTATATTATTATTGTAAAAAAAGACAATTTTTAAAAAATACAATTTGGAAAGATAATCAACGTATTAAATAATAAGACTTATAAATTAATTATCAATATATCAATCAAAATAAGTTAATCCATGTAAATTAATCAATTTAATATTTAAAGAATAAGCTGTAAAACTACGCAGCACATGTAGTTACGCATTATTAATCTTTATGTTAATAGATTAAAGATGGAAGAAATTACTTGTCATTAGTTGTGATAGAGAAGAGTTTAGCGTCAGCAACCATTCACTTATCAACAACGATTTGCGTCAAAAACTATTTCATGGCTTATCTTTTTAAACTGTTGTAAATTTGGTACAATTTCCTTTTTAACTATTTTTAATATATAATTAAAAATACTTCAATAAGGTTTAAATTAGTTTTAGAATTATTACAATCAATTACCATGCTTAGAATAGCTATCATTTAATAAGATAACTAACGTAGTTCATTAATTTAAATAAAATCTATCTCTTATTTTAAAAAAAAATTTACCTTACGCAAAATTATGAAGAAAAAAAATATGACACCCCCAAAAAAAAATTAACAAAAATTACTTTCAGCAAAATTTTTGAAGGAAAAAAAATATATATTCCTTAACCAAAATTCAAAAAAAAAAAAAAAAAACCTTAAATACATTTTTTAAAAACTATGCTACTCATTAAAAAATATTTTAAAAAATAAATACTTCACATCAAACGAAATTTCAAAAAATTTCAACAGCCCCTCTTCTTGAAAAAACATCATAAAATACAAAAAAAGTTATATTAAAATATATCCTACCCTTAAACAAAATTGGAAAAAAAAAAAATTTAAACATAACGCCTTATTCCAAATATATATCTGATAGGGTTACATATCACTCATCTTTGTAAATCACTTTTCGCTTATAACAGTAAAAATACATAAATGAAATAAATCCAACAGCTTCTTTACAATTATCTAATCTCAAATATCTCTTACTCCCTCGCGTTATTTACCTGAACATAACGATTAAATCTTTTTCCAAATCTTTTTTCGAAGTTTCTTTTTTAAGTTGAAAGGAAACAAAAAAGAACTAAATGAGCGAAAAAGGGGTGGGCGCTTTCTGTAAGGGGGAACGAGTTGGCCGTTAAAAGCGATATTAGGAAAGGCCCGGTAATCTTCACGGATAAGACCATCTATTTATTGGATGAGGCCAGCGCGCTTTAACCACGACAAGAAATCTGGTATCTCTAATTTCTTGTCATTTAGGTAACTTTTATCTCAGCGCAAGTGCAACCATTTTTTTTTTATTTCATTTTTATTATTTATTTTTCGTAAGTTTTTTCTTATATTCGTGTTATTTGTTTTTAGCTTTTTTTTTGTGTTGGTAGATGGGGCTAGTGTGGGATCATCCCTGATCGCTAATTACGCCTGCCTCAATAACCACTGATGGAAGAAGTAAAGAAGGGAGAAGATAAGAAAATGGCTAAATGAGCAGATCAATAAATAAAAACTCATTTTCTTGAGAGTTTTATCTAGTTATTTATTTATTTCATTTTTTATGCCTTATTCAAGTCATAAAAAATTAAAGAAATGCTTTGTGTTTTTTAGGCCTAATTCTTGTCTGCCACATTTATACTTCGAATGCATTACATTGTATTTACGAATTTCTGGAATTACATTATGAAGTAGTTAATCGTCAGAATTACAATAAGAAATGTCATTTATTGAGTAACAATAAGTCAAAAAATCTGCAGTACTTCGAAAGCACTCTATTGCATTTTCAAGTTTTTGAAATTACGTTATGAAATAGTTATTCATCAGAAATGCAGCAAGAAATGTCATTTATTATGTAACAATAAGTCAAAAAATCAATGGTACTTCGAAGGTACTAAATTTTATTTACAAGTTTTCGGAATTACATTATGAAATAGTTCATCGACAGAAATGCAGTAAGAAATGTCATTTATTGAGTAAGAATAAGTAAAAAAAATCTATGGTACTTCGAAAACACTATACTGCTTTTACAAGTTTTTGGAATTACATTATGAAATAGTTAATCGTCAGAAATCCAGCAAAAAATGTCATTTATTGAGTAACAAAAGTCAAAAAATCTATGGTACTTCGAAAGCACTATATTACATACAAGTTTTAGGAATTACATTATGAAATAGTTCATCGACAGAAATCCAGCAAAAAATGTCATTTATTGAGTAACAAAAGTCAAAAAATCTATGGTACTTCGAAAGCACTATATTACATATACAAGTTTTAGGAATTACATTATGAAATAGTTCATCGACAGAAATGCAGTAAGAAATGTCATTTATTGAGTAAGAATAAGTAAAAAAAAATTTTGGTACTTCGAAAACACTATATTTCATTTACAAGTTTTTGGAATGACATAAGTAGTTAATCATGAGAAATGCAATAAGAAATGTCCTTCATAGAATAAATGAATAACAAAAAAATCTTCAGAACTTCTAAAGCACTATATCACATTTATGAATTTTTGAAATTGCATTACGAAGTAGTTAATCGTCAGATATAGAGTAAGAAACGTCATTTGAAAGCATTATATTGTACTTATGAATTTTCTAAAGTTATGTTATGAACTAGCCTATCTGCAGAAATTTAGTAAGATAAGAATTTTTTTAAAAAAAAATGATACAATTCCTAAATTTACCAGCCCTTTCAAAGCTCCATATTGCTTTGAGGGATTTTTAAAATTATGTTATAAACATAAAAGAAGCAGAGTATCTTCAGAAATATAGCAAAAAATATAATTTATTGAATAAAAGAGCGATATGAAATCGAAAAATGCATCAGTACTTCAAAAACAATGCATTGCATTCACGAATTTTTATAATTATATTCTGTGTAGTTTGCTTTCAGACAAATCATTGAGTAAATAAATAGGTGAAAAAAAATCGAACAGTGCTTCAGTACTTCAAAATATGTTGTATTGAAATTACGATTTTTTAAATTATAATTTGAAATATGTAGTTTATTGATAGTAATGTACTAAAGTATAGTCATTTATAAAAGAAATGAATTTTTCAAAATCGAACTATTGCAGAAACTATTTCCATTCTTTTTATAAAAAATACAGGTAAAATAAATTTTAAATAAAAATATTTGATTTAAAAATAATTTTTTTTTAATGGCGGCCACTTGGAACTATTGTCCATTGGCCACAGAAAGTACCAGAAGTGCTAACTCTCTTTTCGTTACCCAGTGGGCACCTGTGGCGAAGCCACGGCGGTGGAGCAGCGTCGCCCACGTTGTACTACCACAACCCGTTTATAGGGCGGGTCACATTCACACATAAAGGAGAAAGTAGAACACAGATAGAGAGAAAGAAACATCCATGCCTTGCCCGGGATTCGAACTCAGAACCTTTCTGATGCAAGGACAGTTCCCTTCCCCTCTACACAGGCCGGTCGGCTGATTTAAAAATAATACAATTTTTAAATTAATTTCTACTTTAACACTTTGTTTTAGTGTTTTCATGAAAATATCGTTCAACTGAAGGGATAGACCAACAGTGAGTTTGAACGTAAATATTAACAAATTGCTGATATATAATTACTAAATAATTATTAAAATATAATTACTTAATAACTTAAATTAATGCCATAACACTTATTATATGAAAATTAAGAATTAATATTTTTAATCAATAATGATTTCGATTACATTGATATAAGCTTAAAAACAGTACAACCAAACTTTTTAGTAATTTAAAGATATAAATTAAAATTTGAAAGAAAATAATTTGGTCGAAGTACGTAGGTTTTTTTTTTTCCAGTGCGGAAAAACCTGAATAACTTTTAATCTAGTGGTCGGATCTCCACGTTCTATTACACAATCTTAAAGCTTTAAAGGCATGATCTCAAATATGATAATTTAATAGTGCAAAAGATATTTTAAATTCTGAAATCAGAAACAAAAACGTACTTTCTCTGAATAAATATATCTTTTGCGGCGGATTTGGAATTCGTACCCTCGAATTATGGGGGTTAGCCGCAATCTGGGAAATATGACACCAATCGTTTGGTTGAGAGAGCGGTCTAAAGCTTAATAATAGTATTACTCTACTACTACTATTACTACTACAGAAATTTGGCCCCCTTACTGTTTACTTAATATTTTACTTTTTTTGCAATATCTCGAGAACCTTTTAAACGAATCGAGAATTTTCTGCACACAATTATTAAATTTGTTCATCCAACGATAATTCCGTAATATTTATTTTTTTTATTTATTTATTGTTATTTTATTTAATAACATCGACAAAGGCTTTAATTGTAAGAAATACAAATTCTTGCATCTTTTTTAAGAATATAATTTTATGCAGCAAATTCAAAATTTGAAGGAAATTGGTCGAATTCTCGAGAAAACATCGTAAGTATAGATATGTAACACAATAAAGAATTAAAGAAAAAAGAAATTTAGAAAGGAAAATTAAAAAATTAAGATTTATTAAATTTCTTTAACTGTAAATTGGCTGCAAATTGATAGAACTCGCATTAAAAGATCAAAATTTTTAAAAAACAGGGAAAAAAAAATTTTTTTGAAAAAAGAAAAAACATATTGTGAAAGAGATTATAAAAATTTATTATGAAAAAATAATTTTTTAAAAAAAGCCAAGAAACAAAACAATGAAAAGATGTTACCTTGTCGTCAACGCACACGATTATATCAGCAAAATAGTGTTTTCTAATATTGTATTAAAATATCCAAATCAAAATATAATATTAATAAACGTGCGGATATAATCGTTGATGTGACAATATTATGATTTTTTTTCTGTTGTACTTTTAGCTTAAATTAATTTTTTTAAATTTTAGAAATATTAATATATGATCACATTTAATCTTTGCGTATAACGTAAGGCAGATTTATGATCGGCAAATTCCACGCCGAATTTATTATGCAAATAAACATGCCTGGAATAAATTTATTAGTAACTTACATTGCATGATATTTTAAATTTGGTGAAACAAAAGCTTGACCTATAGGTAACCTAGGACAAACTACGACAAATAATTTTATTTAATTTTTTCCTTCTCTCATTCCAGGCACGCTTACAAATTCCTTAAGCGAAACGAATTTTCTTTTCTTTTTTTCTCGCCAAGCATATTTCACCAGAACCCACTCCTTATTTACTTAACATTATTTTTATAACCTGGCTGAAAATGCGTGTCGCCAAGAAAAAGATGATAAAATATATCAAGGTCCCCTCTTCAGATGGTCGTAGACCGCATTCACAACTTCAAGGACATACAACTCTGACGACATCTCTGGGGTGGAGTAGGGGTAAGAGTTTGCAAATTTATATGTTTTTATCCACCCACCCACCTGAAATAAACCCGTCCCACTTCATTGTTTCACAAATCACAATTTATTCCTATGTTTTATTGACTCAAACGTTATGGACTGTCCGCCAATCAGGAAACGAGATTAAAAGGTAAAGGATAATAAATGAAGGGGGAAAACAAAACAAGAAAAAGAAACATGTCTTCCTACAGGTTAAGAACCATTGCTGATCTGGCATGTAGTGAAACCATAAAAGGAACCTTGAAAAGAAAATTAGTCATGCGTATAACACGTACTAGGTAATGATGACTATTACGATGAAATGCTCTTCAATTAACTGTGACTGTGAGGATTCTGAAAGGAAAAATGATCATAAAACAGAGGATATACCTCTGTGCTTAGTCATCAGAAATGAAACAAGTTACGGATTAGAAGGAAAAGTAGAAATGTTAGAATTTTATTTATGATCGTTTAGCCAACACAATGGTGTAAAACGGCGAATATTGTTTAACTTACATTGTAAATGGAAACAATTGTTTAAGTAATTTGATTGATTTTGTTTTTATCTTCAGATTGAAAATTACATCAAAGAGGAAACATAAAATCACTACCTAGAACCACATTATGGTGAAAATTCGATGCAATTTTAATGAGGTTATGATGTGAATCATAGTATCATGTAAGCAAGTTTAAAAAGCGTCTAGGATTCAACTTAGCATCATATTAAAGTTTTAGCCGGTTTTGTTTTAAACTGCAGACTGGCATGAAAATTGCTTCAACAATGAAACAAAATTGCTATCGTTAACTACATATTCGATACAATCCTACATGTTAATTTTAGTCATAGTATCGTGTAAACTAGTTTAAGAGGTGCTTAGGATTGAACTCATTACCACATTGAAGTTTCAGCCGGTTTTGTTTTTAGTTGCAGACTTTTATAAAAATAGCTTCAACGATGAAACATAAAATCGCTACCTTGAACCACATTATGGTGAGAATTTGATGCAACCTTACCAAGGTGTTAATTTGAATCATAGTATCGCGTAAAAAAAGTTGAAGTACTATATAAGGACTAAACTTAGCACTACATGCATTAAGGTTGCAGCCAGGTTTGCTTTTAGCTGCAAACTGTCATAGAAATTGCTTCAATCATGATATATAAAATCACTATCAACGTTATGGTGAAAATTCAATGCAACCTTAATAAGGTATTGATTTGAATCATAGTATCGTAAAAATAGTTAAATAAATACTATAAAAGGATTCAACTTAGCACCACATGCATTAAGTTTTCAGCCTTTTTTGTTTTTAACTGCAGACTGTCATAAAATTGCTTTAACAATGAAACATAAAATAGCTATCAAGAACCATATTATGATACAGCCTTAATAAGGTGCTAGTTCGAATCAGAGTATTGTGTAAACAAGTTTAAGAAGTTCTTAGGATTCAACACAGCCGGTTTTATTCATAACTGCAGACTGTCATAAAAATCAGTTCAACGTTAAAGCATAAAAGTTTAAATTCTTAAAGGGAGAAGTATTTTAACTATAATTGATAATATAAAACTTTATTTGCTTCGAAAAATATGAAGATGGCAATAAAAGTTTACGTGTTTCGAGCGCTCAAAATTAGGCTCCCGTTCTCAATACCAGCCAGACGTGACCGATGAAAACAACAGTGATTTGTCACTTTTTCTTACCATCTTCATATTTTAAAAAGCAAATGAAGTTTTATATCATCACGTAGATCTTTCCTCATCGTTTTCATAAAATTATTCTTTTAAATAATTTAAATTTTCAAAAAATTAAAAAAATGAAAAGGCCATTAATTTTGAAAGATCTTTAGTCTAGAAACAGAACTTCCAAATTCATCAATTTTTCTTAATTTTCGCATATTTTTTATGAGCTTAGATATTGCAATGGCGGAATAATTTTTTAAATCTTTATAATTTAAATCCCAAACGCTTTTTTTTAAAAAAAAATAAAAATAATTATAACCTTTTTCATATTAGCTATATACGCCATTTTTTTTAATCAGTCTGCATTGAGGGCCCTGCCTAAATATGACGAATACTGTTATAAACGCAAAAAAATTTTCTCAATACTATATTATTCACTGGAGAGCTTTTTTTTTATATCATGTAAGAGCATTCAAAGACCAGATTTAAATAAATATTTATCAAAAAAAAAGTTGCTTTAAAAATTTATTTCAGGATCTTCAATAAATAAAAAAAAATTCAATAAGTACCATTCCTCAAAACTTTCCATTCATTTCACGTTCCTGAAATCAATAAAATATAAAGATTTCGGCAAAACGAAATCAACTAAGAACTCCGTTCTACCCATAATTCGAATTTTTTTTCCCCTTCCTATTTAATCGTTTCTTTAGAAATCTAGAGCCATAAATTAAAGCGTGAAGGACATCCCTCCCCTAAGTATACATTTCGAAGATTGGTTGATGTATTTTTTTCCTACAAAATATATTTATTTTAAGTACTCTGCTTTAAATCTTTTTCACCCATTCGAATGAGATTGCCACTGATAAAATTTTAAGCCCTTTATTATGCTCTACCCGTACCCTTCTCGTTTATATAATCACGGGTATAATCCTCGGCCACCCTTCTCTGGATAATCGAGAATTTCTTTTTTTCTGGGGAAAAAAACATACGGATTTCTAAAGAAATGAAGAATGCTGTATAGAAATATAGAAAAAATACCATTTGATTTTAAATTTGGGGGGAAAGGAAGAGGTACCCA